GACCTGAGCAATTCTTGCAAAATGGTGCAGCCTTCACGCGTTGGTCATAATGTGGCTGGCATGACATAGGGTTTGTATGAAACGCTGTCCTGACTAGATAAACTGCAGCCTCTCGAATGCATGTCTGAAGATAATCCAAATCTCTAGGCTTCAAGCTAGGAAGAATACGGCTCTCAGTACTATCCGCCACAACTGAAGCCAGAAAACACAAATTGTAGGGATAAATCGCACGCACCAGAGTCCACTCATTCCTCCTACGAGCTTCCACGCTCCACCTTATGCCTTGAGAGCTTTAATTCCCGGCGATGTATGTTTCAAAAGCCATGCGTTGTAACCCCAAAGCATCCTGAATGAGCTCTGCGCGAGCATTCTTCGTAGAAGCACGGCAAAACTAGGCGAGGCCGCTGTATACATCCAATCCACGATGGTTCGAGAAATTTCAGTTGCCGAGGCCAATTGCCCCTCTTGCCGATGCGCTTTCAAGGCGGGGGTCTTTCTGGGACCACTGAAGGCAGCTTTGGGTGGAAATTCGGGGGTTTCGGTGGTGCCCTTGGGAACCGGAGAGGAACCCTTCTTGATGACAATGGTGACAATGGGGTAGGAATTATTCTGAAAATTCCATATGTCAGGATGTTATGACGCAGGGTCTTGAACCAGAAAATGCTGACGAGATGTGAATCATACGAATTCGTGCTCTTTACAGCTTCACAGTCCTCAGGTAGCATGCTAGGTGGCAGGTGCATGACCTCTTATTCGCATGTTCAATGATTGCTGAAGAGAGCTGAAAGAAGCTGCTTCAAGCACGTAGATCAGGCAAGTTCGTCGTGTTTTTTTACGACATGGCGGACAAACGCCTTTCACAACACAGCTTTTCTTTTTGGGCGGGTCAAGCTGTTAAGGTGGACTATGACACCGAGAGTGGTCGCCTCGTGTTCTCCAGGGATCCGCAAGGCCGCTCCTTTTTCGGCGTAGCCTTCAAAACAGATGCACCATTACACTTGATCTACGTCGCGGATGAAGTTTGGGCTACGGGAAACTTCCTTGTTATGGGACAAAGCCCGATTAGGCGGTAGTGTGGGCCTGTGCTTGGACAGTTCAAAGATCTTGAGCGTCTTGAAGACCTGTTCCCTGAGGTGTTCAGACATCATTCGCACGATTGTTCGCACGATCATTCGCACGTGTCAGCATCGAACGATTCGCATGTCCACAGCTGAAAGAGTTGCTCTGGTAAGCAACCTTGATGGCCGGGTCCAGCAGATCAGTTCTCCGAGAAGAGAATAATGCAGCAGCACTCCGTCATGGCTTGTGATTGCTGCCTCAACCTGCCAGGCAACGCAACTTGCGACTGGAGAACGCAGCTTTACGAAAAAGCCATTTGCCTCGCAAGACGGGTTGAGACACGTCGTGATTCTCCTGTGGAGCTAACACCAAAAGCTTGAACCTGAGCAGCTGTGATAAAGGATGTAAGGCCAGGCACCTTCGACCGCTGTGGATCATACAAGCCCTGGTGACAAAATTGTCCCGTGTCCTCGTATGAACCTGTCAGTTCACCCTCAGTCCTCTTTCAGGTGCGTTCAGTGCAGATAAGCAAGCTCCGCGGCTTTGGCGCAGTGGCCTCTGGGACCGGGTCTGCAAAGGGTGCCTGCAGGGTTCATGGGACTTCGGTTTCACCTTGTGACACATGATTCATAGCCTCTCTTTCCCAGGCATTTATGCATACCTATCAAGTCCTGTCACGCTTGTATACAGCTGCCTTCCAAGTTTCAGGCAAACTCAGAGACTATGCACAATCTACATGTGATCTATGGAACCTTGAACACATCGGACCATTTGCGTTGAGTCGCTGGAGGCAGTGCAAAGTCATTGAGAGCCTGCCTTGAGACACTTCAAGCTTTGCAGGAAGGCCAGTCCAAGCAGAGGATGTGGATGCGACGTGCAGCCGCGATGCGCAGCAGACTGCATTGGGAAGCTGGATGGATCCATTTAAACAGAGTTTGTGAGGACTTGGGTCATGCACGCTGAACGCTTAGAAGCAAAACTACTGCACCTCAGAAAAAAACTCGATGAACGAGAACTAAGTATGGTAAGAGCGCCACAACTGAGCAGGCCCCACTCTTGACAGCTGACAGCGGCTGGAATCTAGCTAGAAGGAGTGGATAGAGCAGGATTCCTGACGCCTGTTACCAGGTGTTTGCGGCGCTGAGCTCGAGCACATCAGCAGCCGTTCAAGTCCCTCAGCAGAACAGAGCCCGGTGTTCTCTTCTTTGCTTTCAAATGAGGAGCTCAATGACTGCCGGCCTCAGCCGCAAAACAAACGAATGAGGGTTGCAGACTTATGTGACTGACCTCTTAGGCTGCCAATCCCATCCAAAAGCTGATGGCGGAATGGGCTCCAGTTGTGCCCGATAGTTCTCCATTGCTCTATCCACCCCCACACTAACTCAAGAACCCAAAAACCTAGAAATGAATCCGAAGCCCACTGCTTTTAAGAACCTTACTCCATCAACCCCAATCTGAAATCTGTGTAGTTGGTTTCGACGTTCGCGCGGCAGAGGCGTTCAGGAGTAGGACTTCAACTGTGACTCGAAGAGCTACAGCGCTAGTTTTTGCAGCACACCTTGCTATGTACCTACCCGAACCGCGTACCCTACACCCGTACCTGAAACTGTGAACCCTGACCTAAACTCTAAACCGTGTACTCTAGACTCTAAACCCCAAACCAACTGCGGTATCCTTAAGCGTTGCCCTCAAGAACGCCTAAGCCTAAGCCCCAGCCCTAAGTCCCAAACCCTATAAACCGTGTACCCTGATGCCTGAACATCCTGAACGTCCAACCGACCTTGAGCACTAACCGACCCTGAGCCCAAGCTCAGAAAATTGACGAATGACTTGGTGTCGACGTGTAGCAAGTTCGCATGTTTGAGATGTCGCGAGTGATCTCCACACAGGGAAAAAGGTTGGACACAGATGCACACAGCCACACGCAGGATGGACAACTTGCGTACAATGAAATGAATCAGGGACATGCTGCACATTGATGTTGTCATCATCACGACTCCTGCATGCTTTGCACAGCCCTGTGCATCTGCGAATTGCCATCCTAAGGAATTCTGAAACTGCTGGATGCCTTGGCTTGTTTAGCGTGTCACTTTCCTTTTTAGAGAAGTTAGGAACACCCCTTTACATCTCCTTCCGAATTCTCCTGTTGGACTGTAAGGAAGACATGGAGCCGGGCTGGCGATCGCGGGTCGCCAGAGCCGACGACATGGTGGAGCGGCTATTAGCATCTCGGATCCACTTAGCGAACGATTCAACATGTCTCAATGACGTCGAACGCTGCGGAGATAAGCTAGTCTGCTTGCATGCACGAATTACTCGCGAAGCTCAGCTTTGCTTTCCCGACAGCCTTCGAGAAACAATATTTCCAAGCAATTGTATCTGTGCAAGGGCATGATTTGTTTTTAGTTTGTCACAGCTTGTGCAGAGTTTTCAAGGGCACATCCCTCGCATTTTTTCGAGCGTACGTCTGGGTATCCTTTCCAGGCTCAGGTCCAGCATCTGCTCCGGGCTGCTAAACGGACATCATATCCTGTGGCACTATCAAGTTCAGCCCAAGACGTTTGCGCTTGCAGATTTGGTCTGAGAAACGGTAAAGACTCATAGTCAGACCCAGGGGCTGCAACGGGTTCAGAATCCACAGCTTAGGACAGCTCGCTGGTGACATGCGATCTTTGCGATAAAGTGGCAATCCGCTTCTCAGCTATATAGACGTTGCCAGACAACCCCACAGGAAGTGTTCCCTTCGCAAGGGCTCAGCCACTGCGTCAGCAACAGAGGAAACTATCGTTTACATCAATTGAATAATATATGATCATGTTTTGAGTGCATATAACTTCTGAGATTTCGCAGCTATCCTTCAAAAGCAGTAGACGGTCCGACTGCTTCCTGATACACAGCTTTCAAAAACGATAGTCATCCACAAAATGATTGGCCCAGCATCGTGTGAATTGCGGTTCTCACAACAGCCCAGTAGAACGATAGGGCTCAACAGAAGATGTCGCGATCAATGGAAGAAACACATCTCATATGCGTGTCTATCCCCCAGCGTCTCAGCAGCCTTCAGAACATCCAAGTAGGATTCAAAGTCATGATGCGGCATTGTGCAGAGGTCTTGGCAGCAACAGTAGAATGCAAGTTGTGCTATTGTCACCCTTTGCTCGTTTAAAGCTTGTGACAGGCAAAGGAATAGAGCGGCGGTAAGTCTTCTTGATGTCTGTTTTACGAGAAATTCTTGGTGCACATTTACATGTTGCCCTTTGCTTTTAGTTAGCTTGGCGGAATCCGCTGCTCTTCAAGCCTTGTTGCTCATTCCCCACCCTTGCTTCCATTTAGTTTTCCTTCTTGTCGAGGAGCCAAAGGCGTGTGGACCTGCAAAAATGGGCCTCACACCGTCATGCAGCGAGGTACTAATTGATTGCATTCTCAAGTTATAGTTCGGGCATCGTTGGATTTCTTGTACATTGCGGTTGAGACTTACTTGCCTGAGGCAAACTCTGCCGGGGTTGTCAGCTAGTCGGGCCTTCTTTGAGATTTTTTGAGATTTCTCGACAGGCTTAAGGGGCAGCGCGGTTGGCCAGCGTCTTCTAGTTTTTGATGGAAATTCTATGCTCAGGCCCTTGGAAAATCATTGTTTGTGGGATTCGAGTCGAAACAATCAAAAGGGCAGAGTCATTGACTTCCTTACGGTTGAGAGCAACCATGGACACAATACAGTTTGGTGGTTTGAACGCCGTCGGTGTATGCAGTCAATCTTGTTCACGACCAGAGCGAACAACTTTTACTGACAGAATTCAACGTGCCGTCAAAGCTTATGAGCCCCTCTTGAGGAAGAAGCACTTAATGGGCCTCTTTTGATATAGGTGTTGATGTTTTCGTAGATGGGCCATGACATGCGATGACCCAATTTGTAGCTCGGAGCTTTGCCTATGCTTGTGATCCAGGCACCCGGCCGCATACGACGTGTGCCACATGACCGATCAGAATTAAGACTTAGGGCTGGTTTCTATGGGCTTTTAGCACAGCAGCTCAGGCTGTGTTTTTTCAACACTAGCACTTAATGAAAAACATTTGACAGCGAGATCGTGGGGCTGGAACTTACACATCTCGTTTAGTTGTAGGTCAGAGCAGTGACAGAAGAATATGTGTCAAGCCTTTTTTTGTGGGGAAGCAGGGGGTGTGCTTGTTTCTGGGATTTCAAGATGGTCTGAGATGCAGCTGGCAGATTTGCGGGACAGTATTCTGCCTCGGTGCTGTCGTCAAGTTTGGAAGGCAGCCTGCAGATGGCATTTACAGCTTGTAGGTTGCTGCCAGATTTCAAAATTAAGACCTCAAAGGTTGAACTTGCAGTCTCCACCTGGTGAATTTACAAGGCTTGCGTGTAGATTCGGCGACCTCCATAGATTGGGCGAGCCACTTGTGATTCGTGATGTGGCTGCACGTCTGAACGCCTCCCCTCATAAACGTTTTTTCCAACCCTGTCTTCCTTGCCCCATGCCCCAGGTGAGTCTTGCTTCGAGACGTACTCGGGTGTGGCGATGCCGCTGTCTGGGCATGTACAGAGGAGCGACCCGTAATCCAATCGGCTGAAAGCCTTCAATCCATAAACACGAAGCTTGCAGACTGCAGTCTTATCGAAGCTGGCTAACTTAAAGCGGGGGCCAGAGAAGTAGGTTGGCCATATCAACGCTATTGAAGTCAATGGAAGGACGACTTGCTTCACCTCACATGCGATTACCCCTTCAGTGCACATGCTGGAGAAGCGGTGCCAGAACACATCCGAGGAGCTCAAAAACACGCTCAGTTTTTTGCTGGGACCGAACGCGCCAGACCTGCTGCCAGGCAGTGGTTCAAGAAAAGGGGATGGACCATAACGGGCCTCAGTGTGTTTTCTATGGTAGCCTGCAAAGTTGTAACGAATAGCAGGAAATTTCTAGGAGGTCGTGGACATGGGATTGACACATATCGATGCACAGTGTTGCTTGCAGGACGTTCATGATGCCCAGATGAGTGTGCATCCCAATGTTGCAGTTGAATAGGCATAGGCGGGAGCCCAGATACATGTGCACGTGTGGAAATGTAAACCTCTTCCAGGCATGCACAGCAATGCTCGACGCCCTGCCTCGCTCCTGGACGCGACGCCTCCAGCGGAGCGAAGCTCGCAGTGAGGCTTGGCCTTGGCACAGCACAGCACATGCTGCACACACAAAGCACGCTTAGCACGCTTCTGACTTCTTCGCCTCGCTCCCTCAGAAGCACATGTTCTGGCCAGGCGCAGGTCTGAAGCCCAGCTCCAGCCGCCCGGACAGGTTGGAGCTGGCTTCGGGTGGACTGGCAGAGAAGTCGTTCTGAGCACAGCTCCTCAGGTAAGGAGGTTTTTCCTCTTCTCCCGGGGCATTTCAGGATGCCTTATGAAAGAGTCTGCATAAGCGCTTTTACTCAGTCATAGTCGGCGTTGCGGTTCCCATCTAGTGGAATTTGAGGTGTGTTGGGCAGCCGCAAGTAGAGGGTCAGGCAGTGTTCAGCTTAGCAGTGTCGTGTTGATGCAGCTGGTTCAGTAGTACGCGTTGTTATAGCAAAAGACTCATTTTTGCATTTCAGTGGGAGCTTCAAAGGTGGCTCGATGCCTCGTAGCTTTTCGTTTGGGATCTGGGGGGAGTGATTGTCCTGTGCCATGTGCTAGACTCCTGCCAACTGTGTGCTTGTGTTCGCAAGCCCATCCAAGGAAACCGTAGGTAATGAAGGACTGTTGTGTTCTGTTACTTGAATACTCAGCTGTTGAACCCCGTCTACTGCTCGCAAACATCCTGATAGCTTGAAGTACAAGCCTCTGCCAGAGACTCTTGAGGTGAGATTGTCCAACATTTCATGTGAAGAAGCAGAATCGCAAAGTCCAGATTCTGTGCGAGGGTAGTATCAGCTGGCGTACCACTGCTGGCCCTGCTGATCCCAGTCTGTGCCAGAATGACTGGAAGCTGTTGAGGTGGAGCCCTGATACAGGCAGTGTTGCACTAACCATGCGCTATGATTTCCCGCAGTATGAATCCCGAACTCGTGAAACTAGGTTTGTGACATTCAAGGCTATCTTTATTTTATCTGGGTCTCTTTGCAACTTTGCTTATAGTTGAGAAGTCACATGCAGCCTACGCAGCAATAACGCGGACTTCTTTCGGACTCTACAAAAAGAGACTTCTTGCTAATAAGAAGCCAATCTCAGATCGACGATCATATGGAGATGAGGTTTCAGCAGCACAGCTTTGCGGATGCGATTGGACAATTGTTTTCAACTTCTGTCAGGTATTTAGACACGATAGTCCGGTGGGTTGACTTGGTTATTTCCTTGATCGGCGTAGGTCTGGGTGAGTTTTTTAGGCTGCTACAGGGAGAACCAGTTACAGTTTGGGGACCACGCAGGACCTGTACGCCCAAGATGTGGATTTCAGAGCTTTGCCTGTGGCCACGCTCGGGAGGTCTTTCTGAGCCCTTGGCTCTTTCAAGTTCCGGGATTCAAATGCATAGGCATAAGGTGCACACGCTCATCTAGGTTTGTGTGTGCTGACAAACCACATGCTGTAGTGCGATAAGCCCTGAAAGGTTGCAATGGGGATCAAGCTTTTACAACTTGTCTGGTCACTTCAAACAGGGCCCCGATCCACTACTTTTGTGAGGTGTTGGGTTTAGGGTGATTGCGGTGTGCTAACAGCTAACGGGTAGCAGGTTTAACAGACAAGGCAGGTCCACCCATAAGACCAAACACCTTCAGGCACGTCAGGCACGCGTCAGCTTGAAAGATGGCTGGAGAGTCCTCCGCCGAAGATCCCAGATACAGCATCTGGAAGCGATAGCCTCGTGAAAGTGCGGGGAGAATTAGCATTCGCTAGCATTCGCTGGTGTCTGCCAGCCGGCTGCAAGTTCTCGAACTTCCGGGATCTCCTTGCATCTTGGATCTGTGCCCACAAAAAGCCACGCGACCTCGTACGACCACCAATGGAGTGGATCTACATTGCAGCAACCAAGAGCTCAACCAGGCTTACAACATTTGGTGTGAGCGCTCAGCACAAATCCCTCGGCAATTCTAACTGTCGCATTCTTCGCCAATCAGCGGGGTTTGCTCGACGAGTACGCGCACTTTAAGTTACTACTCACAGATCATCGATGCACAGCTTATTCTTACAACGTGTGGCCGATATTCTGGCATATCGGAACACAGGTGCATCCTGACATAGCAAGGATTTATTACAAGATGCTGCCTTAGCCGTCTGATTTTCAGATCACATCTCTACTTGTCTATAGCTAGGAGTAGCAAGCTTCAGGTCAGCTCTGATGGTACCCGCTTTTGTCCAGGAATGCTTGTTGTTCTGTTTTACCATCTTGTCGGCATTCAGTGCGGGTATTAGATCCAAGATCAGATGTCCAGTGCTAATGGCTACCTTGGATGCAGGTTTCACCTGGATTCTGCTTGTCTGATGCTGGAGTTTTCAGGTCAGCCAAGGCCTACAGGCCATTCGAGCTCGTGTCCAGGGTCGCATGCAGCTTCGCAGCACTTCCTAGCCCTCAGCCCATGTTGCCTCGCAAGTCTAGTTTGTCCTCATAAACGTTTGGCAGGTTTCTAGTGACTGCTAGTGGTTCACAGGATTTGCACCCTGGGAGCGGATCTGCTGCGATTTGAAGTGTTCTGGCTAATTACAAAAGGGCAAACCTGAGCAGCTGTGTTGCCTGAGTTCCACAACTGCTCGCTCCAAGACAGGCTTTCCGACAACATCCCACAGCCACATGGCCAGAGGCCTTGGCTTCCGGACCACCGAAAAAACAAATGGTGAGCTAGTACCCCGTGACATAGCAACAAGCCGATTGGCCTAAAATCTCTGGTGTGCTTTGGAGCCAGCAAGCAAGGGGTATCGGATTTTTTTAACAGAGCAAAGAAAGCGTTGCTGCAAGGACCGCAGAAGGTGTTGGCGCAATGCAGGTTTTGTCCAGCGCTCTGGAAGTCCTGTTAATGGAATTCGCAAGAGAGCGGGGCAAACAGCAGGATGAGCTTCCATGCTCTCAAGTTCATAAATCAAGCCATGAGCAAGGATTTAGGCCTTAGCACTGCGGAGCTTCAGCTTAGCTATGTGTAACAGGCTTTCTTGTGAACGGACACTTGTTCCGGGGAGTTCATGGACTCACATTGGCAGTTGCATTTGCGTAGCTCGCAGCCCTGAATCCCTGATCAGGGCTTGCTGTTTGCCTTAGGAGATATGAGGGCCCTTGCGGCCCCTACGGTCCGATGAACCGTTGCCGCAGCTCATGCAAAGTCGAACGCCGCAGACCCCGCGCTGAACCGGATATTCTCCAACTGCAGGAGTGCTCCATCCCATCTCCTGCGTCGTTCTTGTCCTCATGTTTTGACGTCTGTGTGTTTCACTCTAAGGGCTGAAGCAAAGATTGCAAGGATAAGGCCTCAAGGAAAACAGCGGATCATCAATAATGCCCACCATTAAGAAGACTGATCTTCCTTTCCATGACTCGAGAAGTCCACTTTTAAGCCATGGTAATGTGGTCATGGGCTCTTCAGCCATCTTCACTTGAGACTTCTTTCCCTGAGGTAGATCCTAACACCTAAGAACATCAAGCCTACATTGCTCGATGTGTGTTCGTGCAGCGGGTGATCTACCTTTCACACAGCGACTCGTTCCGGCAGAGGCTGCAAGCACAGGAGCTCACATTGTCATGGTAGCAGCATCTGCAAAGTAGGGTTGCGGTTGTGAGCAAGATATGGTTGCTGGGTGACTGGTTGCTGTAGTGCAGCTAAGAGCCGCACTCTTCTCATCTAGAATTGGGGTACAGTCTGTGGGTAGCAGCTCGACCTCACCACTACGGCAAGAAGAAAGTCTTAGGTCTTTGGACTTGCTCCAGCTGGTTCACATTATGGGTTTCTTTAATTGGTGTCTGCTCGGGAGCTCACGTGAAACCGAAGTAGAGGCCTCATGCGGGACTCTCCCGCTGGCTCACAAGTAGCCAGCGCCAGCTGTACTCAATGCTATTGACTTGGCCTAGTGCAATATTCATAAATACTTGTCCTCACAGAGAACTTCCAGGCGACCACCTTCGCCAAAGGGCCGTTCTCAGATTTTCCTCATGGTAAGTATTTCTAGCCCATCATCTGCAGGCAAAGCCAGACTCGGGGACATTCAATTTTTGCGTGGCAAGGAGCCTTTCAACTGTCTCGTGCTCAATTACGTTGAGGCAGCTGAAGCGCAGGCAAAAGCGCTCATCTTTTCTCTTGACAACCGTTCCAAGTATCCGCTACTGTGCCTGTCATGGTGCGCTGCATGCAGGACTGTCCCGATCGAACCGCAGTCCCAACCACGAAACCCGCCAGGCCCACTCGCCAGGCCCTGCCCCTGCAGAACCATGGCGTGGCCAGTTTGCATCTCGTTGACCTTGCGGGCCGTGCCGCCTGCAGGAGCAAAACTTCAAAAAAATACCAAGTGCAGGGTGGCATTGACGAACACATTTCAGTGCATGAGAGCAGGTTGTGTCATTGTTGAGATTGGGAGTTTCGTGGTGATGGACTTGGCTGAGTCATTATGCTCCAGTCAAGAATTCGCAACTTGAAAGCGCAAGCTTCAGCCTTGATATTGGACATCTCCGCTCGGGCGAGGAATTGAGAGTTTCTCACAGAAAGTGGCCTTTAGGTACTCTTGGGATGTAAAGGGACTATGAAGGTATTGTAGGTTCCCCTTCCAAGTCTCTATGCAACCATGCCAGAAATATCAGAAAGTTTCAGATGCTTTTTTTGGCAAGGTTGATTTATTGAATTTGGAAACATTCGATGCGGAGACTTCAAGCTCGTGCAATGCACTTTTTCAAAGGTTTGATGTCCGGTTGCATTGTCCAGCTACGTTTCAAACATTATGGGTTCTGGCGTGATCTGCTCATGCGCGGCAAAGCTTTACTTCTTGGTCATCTTGGTGAATTGGGTACCAGGCCATAGGCCTCAGGTCAGTGTTACAGTTTTCCGTTCTGCGATGCTACAGTGTTGCACTGTTGTTTTGGTGCAGCAGCCGTTGACATGAAAAGTGATTCAATTCTTTTGCTTCAGAGTCTAGCTTATAGCCTAAGCTGCATGCAAGAAAATTCAGATTGTGGTTCTCGGTTGTCAGTCGAGCTGCACAAGCTCAGCCTAAGATTGCAAAGCAAGCATCGAAACTCAAGCAACTTCAAAATGCCTGCCTAGAGAAGGGCAGGGCTGCATTTCCTTGTGGGCACCGCCATGTCACCAGCGCAGGTTGAGGCAGT